CTTCCGTCTCTCTCTTCCGTCCACGGACGGACGTTCGCTTTTCGTCGATCGTCCGCGGTGGACTTGAGGGATTCTAACTGTCCCCGTGCCAACGCCACAGACCAGCGACCGTTCGTAAGAAGCAGTGATGTCAACACCTGGGCTGCATCACCGCAAGCCTCCCCTGGTCAGCTCTGAGCTGCCAGGCAAGGCCCTCACAAACGCCCACCGCTCCGCACGCATTGTCCTTTGTTGGCCAGATGGCCATTGAACTCCCCCAAACCTCCCCCCTCGTCAAGTCCTGTCCAAACCACTGCCCCTGCAACACCCCAGCCCGCCACGACCGTGCACAGTACTTGCACTCCCTGGCTGCAGCCTCCTACCTTCTCTCTACAGACGGGCCACCACCGGAACTACACAAAAACGCCTTTAGTTACACATGTTACACTCCTCCTGACAAGGGGTCGGCGGCACCCGGGCGAAGCCCTTACAATCCGGGCGCCGGCCACGACGCCCGTGTCCTCGCCGGAGGCCTTCGATTGGTAACCGAAGGTTATAGACGCTGGCACTGGCTGCCGCCGACCCTCGGTCCCAAAACGGGGGGACGACCGGTCAACTGAAGCCCCTGTAATTTACAGTGTATCGTGTGTGTGTGAGGTATAAAAAACACTGTGTTTTACAGGGTTTATTGCGCATATCGAAGTACGACGGGGGGAAAAGGGAAAAATGCAAAAATGCTGTGTTTTTCAAGGGTGGTGTCGGTAATGCGCGCCGGGCGGACAGGCTTAATCGACATTTTGTGGGTAGAGGCCCTCCAGACGACTTACATTTCCTAACATATCCTCAACATAGGCCCAAGATAGCCAACATATCCCCAACATATGCCCAACATAGCCTCCAAGATGGCTCAACATAGGGCCAACATGGGGCCAACATAGGCCCAACATAGGCCCAACCTGGGCAAACATAGGCCAACATAGGCCTAACATAGGCCGACATAGGCTCAACATAGGCTCAACATGGGCCCAAGATGTGCCCAACATAGATCACATGGGCCCAACTTGGCCCAACCTAGGGCCAAGATGCGCACCAGATAGCTTAACTTTGCTCAATATAGGGCCCCCATCTCCGACGCGGACCAGTTTCCCACCTTGGCACCACCCAGGGCCCAGTACGCCCCCGATAGCTTAACGTGCGCCCGACCCAGCCCTACACAGACCCAAGTGGGCCGGCGCCCGGCTGTTAGGCGTAAGCCTTTAAATCCGGGCGCCGGCCACGCGCACGTTCCCTTGCCGGAGGCCTTCGGTTGGTAACCGAAGGTTATATACGCGCCGCCGACCCTTTTGGTGGACCTCCGCCCGACCCCGTGTCGACCCCGTGTCGACCCCCGCCCGAATCGGTCGACAGATTTATATGTCGTCTACCAGTTTTTTTGCGCATGATGTGGAAAACATCGTTTTTTACAGTGTTTCGTGGCCTTCGGCGGACATGACTTGCGCCTAACAGGGCCCCGGTGGTGTCGGTTATGCGTGCCGCGCGGACAGGCTTAATCGACATTTCGTTTGTGTTGGGCACAGAAGTTGCCTAACATATCCCTAACATAGGCCCAAGATAGCCAACATATCCCCAACATAGCCTCCAAGATGGCTCAACATAGGGCCAACATATGCCAACATGGGGCCAACATACGCCAACATAGGCCCAACATGGGCCCAACCTAGGCCAACATAGGCCTGACATAGGCCGACCTAGGCCCAACATAGGCTCAACTTGGGCCCAAGATGTGCCCAACATAGACCACATGGGCTCAACTTGGCCCAACCTAGGGCCAAGATGCGCACCAGATAGCTCCACCAAGTCTCAAAGAGAGAGAGAGAGAGAGAGAGAAAGAAAGAGAGAGAGAGAGAGAGAAGAGAGAGACAGAGAGAGAGACAGAGAGAGAGAAAGAGAGAGAGAGGGAGAGAGACAGAGAGACAAAGAGAGAGAGACAGGACCCAGCCCTACCCAAACCCAAATAGGCCGGCGCCCGGCTGTCAGGCGTAAGCCTCATAAATCCGGGCGCCGGCCACGGGCCCGTGTCCTTGCCGGAGGCCTTCGGTTGGTAACCGAAGGTTATATACGCTCGCGCCCCCTGCCGCCGACCCCCGGTATACCCCCGGTCGACCCCCGGTCGAATCCGGTCGACGGATGTATATGTATCTACCAAGTTTTTTGCGTTGGATGTTCAAAAACATCGTGTTTTACAGTGTTTCGTGGGCGTCGGCGGACACGACTTTCGTCTAACAGGGCGTCGGTGGTGTCGGTTATGCGTGCCGCGCGGACAGGCTTAATCGACATTTCGTGGGTGTTGTGCACATAAGTTGCCTAACATATCTCTAACATAGGCCCAAGATAGGCAACATATCCCCAACGTATGCCCAACATAGCCTCCAAGATGGCTCAACACAGGGCCAACATAGGCAAACATAGGCCCAAGATAGCCAACATATCCCCAACGTATGCCCAACATAGCCTCCAAGATGGCTCAACACAGGGCCAACATAGGCCAACATACGCCAACATAGGCCCAACCTAGGCCAACATAGGCCTAACATAGGCCAACCTAGGCCCAACATAGGCTCAACTTGGGCCCAAGATGTGCCCAACTCAACCCGTCGTAAACGAGGGTGGGAAAGCGATGCTCTCCCACAGCTTGATAGCAAAGATAGAGAAAGAGCCAGGGACAGCTGCCGACGAATGCCGCGACGAAAACACAGACGCCCACAGAGCTCAACAGAAGGGCAAAGGGAGAGACAGCGAGAGACAGAAAGAAAGTGAAACACAGAGACCAAAAAAAAAAAGAGCCAGACACAGAGTGAGCTACCAAGACGAAGACACGGACAGATACAGTCCGAAAAGGACAAGGAGAGAGAGAATCCAGAACACAAAGCTAGAGTCCACGACCCTCTCCCTGCTTGGCCGGCGCCCGGCTGTCAGGCGTAAGCCTCTTAAATATACAGTTAGTTTAATATATGATGATTGTACGATATCATATGCGCATAAGGAGATTATCCAGAGATTATGCACATCGGCACGCTCAGAAACAGCTCAGCGCTTGCATTCTCTGTAGAGTCCAGGCTATGAGGCAAGCAACAGTATGATCAAGCTGAGCCTAGATGCCCAGAGGAACGAGACAACTGCTCAGCAACGTCCTTTTCTTCTGCCTGCAGCACTGCAGCCAATGAAACTAGGGATCATACAGCTCATTCAACCAGAATCCCTAACGCAACCCCGGCCTTGCCCAGCGCTGCCTGATACATCTTAGAATCTTTGACATGATCAAGATTCAAGATTCACATTGGAAAGCCCGTGAAAAGCCCAAGTAAGGTGCCTTCACTACTGCGAGCCATGCTCGTTCAGTGTCTGGTGGCTGGCCACAAAGCGTCACCTTGCAGTACTCCTCGAAGGCAAAGGCAAGTGTTGCCTGCTGTCTGCTATTTGATAGATTCTCAACAACGGAGCATTGTTCGCCAATTCAATCCGTTGTCCCACAATACGGTCAACATTGCAACTCTTGTGCGTTCGCTGAACAGACCTTCTTGCAATGGACTTGATTGTTTACATATTTTCTAAAATTGGGCTCTAGCTCGTTCGCTCCGCATTCCTATGTTTGACAGAACGGAAGTTTAAAAAACGAGGCTCCTCTGTATCATCCTCAACATTGAGTGTGACATTTGCAACTCGCCTTATCCTTGGTTGAACAAGTACACAAAGCACACGCCCACAGCAATTCGATCAAAAGCATTGCAAAGTGCAACAAAGCAACCACTGTGTCAACACAAGAAAGCAACCACAAGTGCTGATCCTTCATTTCCAAGACACTGCTCCTTGTCCAAGGCATGGAGAATCCTTTGCCCCTTCACAGTTCTGGGAATGAGAAGCTCCACTGGGTCATTCGCCCTACCACAGAAGTATGTTCAATGCAACGTCTTGTGACTCTGTCCCAGAGCATTGACAGTAACTTACATTTTGCATTTACCAGTTTCTCATGGCCTTTGTTTTTCTCGCAAAGCACGGATCTGGGCCACTGCCACATCTACCTCTTCGGTGGTTCCAGACACAGTGACCAGGCATGGCTCTGCTTGGCCTTGCTCCTCGCTCTACTTGCAAAGCTCTCGATGGTTGATCACCGAGTTACACAAACACACACCACTGCACAACAATATAGGCTGACGCTCCTGAATGTGAATCTCGGCCCCGGATGAACAGGCACCTGGCCAATTGGGCAGGAATCGAATCATGGCAGAAAAATAGTTTACAAGGGGCAACGCTGTGCCTGCGATGTCCTTCGACAAGCTCCGTGGCACAGGAATTGTTCGGGTCGCATCCCTCCTCAAGTAGTTGTCAAGCATCACTGCAATGCCTGTAGTTCGACTACAATGACCCCTAAATAACAGTTTGACACTTGTGCTGTCAGGCTCCTTGGGCTTTTCTGGTTTTGCTCATCAGGTGGAGTTTCTTGCCTTGATGTTGCTACAGTCCACTTGGAAGAGAAAGTCGCGACACGTTGTCTTGCAAGAAACTGGATTCAAAGTCCCTTAAGGTCTCAACTGTTCGGAGCCTCCAACTGATAAAAAATGAATGTTGTCCATTCACCATTCAAAGTCTCAATGAACGTGCCTAGCTGTGACTCCTTGGCTTCTTCGGCCTTGCAAGGCAAATTTGCAAATGTTCTTTGACGGTGTTTTACTGCTTTTGGGAACTGTTCAAATGATCTTGTTTACGTTCTTTCTTTCTTTATATCAATTTGACCTGTTTCTTCTCTAAATGTCCTTCCAAGTCTAGGAATCTAGGAGCCATCTTTTCAAGGGCGCTCGATAAACAACCTGCTGCAGTGCAAAATGTATATTTTAAACAAAAAAAACGTTTTTCTTAAGCAGAGTGCAAAAGCAGAGCTTAAGTCGGCTGAAGCAAATCAAGTTTCACTGAGTTTCACCCAGTCGCCTCGATTGTCTCCACTGTGGCTCCGCTTTCCTCGGCCTTCTCGGCCACGGCTATGGTAATTGTTTCTTCGGGTGATGGGTCAAAGTCGGCCTGCGGACAAAGCAGTGACAGGATGTATTTGTTGCCCGCTCGGCCCCACCTACTTAATTAAGGCGCCTACTTAATCGGAGAAACTTGTTCGCTCCTACATACTGGACGCAGGATAGCTCACACTTCTTCGAAGCTAGTTTTTAGGGAGACTCATTGTCTCTCAAAGCACTCAACGCACCACAGCATCATGTCAAAGCTTTCAAAGACGTTGGGAGCGACGTAGAGCAATGCACGGCAATGCAATGAAGCAAACTGAAGCATTAAAAAAGGAGAAAATGGAGGAAAAGTGTCGACGCAGTCGAATCAAGGCGTCCTTTCACATGAAAAGCATAGCGTCAAATGGCTAAGGCCTGAAACGTGAGAAATGGCCGCGGTCGAACGATCACCTGACATCAGCCCTGCATCAAGCAAGCAAGCATCTTCAGACGACCTCTCTTTATGTTGATTCAGAGGCAAACTGGGCTTCAGAAAGAAGGTGATCAAGACCGCTGCATGGTCACCGATCAATGTCGGTTTGCCTTCCACAGTTCGCTCCTCCAAGATCCGCCACTCACTCTGGTCTTCCGAGTCAAACCTACCGTAGGTGGTTCGTAGGGTGAACACTTTGGGATCGAACCTCGGAGCAGCTAAGCTACTCTGTAGGAACGTGCGTTCCTGCAAACATGGATGGCCGTCGTGTCGCTATCCCTGAGATGCCACCCTGGTTGCTCACACAACTTGATGAGGTGACTCACAATCAAATCACAAGGGCTCAAAACTCTACCGGGCAGGGAGGAGCTAGGATTCAACTGTGCACCCTGTTTCTTCTTCGAAGATTGCTTTACAAAGCAAGGGTTGAACTTAAAACACCAAGTGCTGCGGCTCAGGACCGATTTCAAACGGTCGGTGGGCATCTCCTTCGTCCCACAATCGACGATCATATTTTCTGTGGCAGTCCAGTGAACTTCTGTAGCAGGTTTGCGAAGAATCTCTCTCAACCAACCAACTGTGAAGTTAGCTCAGCGATTTCTGTGATCCGTAAGTGGGCGTATCACTTGCCGACTTATCGAACACATCCTTCGCATCAGTCACCATTGCCAACGGAATGTCCTTGTTGTAGGACTCGCTCTTGTCAAGGACATTGTAGCCCTTTGCTTCGGCCAACAGCCCTCTACTGTAAAGTCCCACGTCGAGGGCTTCTTCAGAGCCTAGGAGTTCGGCTCCGTAGGTGCTCCGGCACACCCTGGTCAGCCGATGGCTTCTTGCGTCCATGATGGTGAATCTGCCTTCTTTGCCACTGACAAGGTTATGATCGGCGATCGTCACCAAGTAAGCTGCTTGGCTAAACACCTTAGTCATCAAAGCGCCTTCAGCTGCACCACTGCGGGTAACATTACCCAAGGAAGCGTCCGTCACAACGACTATGCCAGCGCCGTTCAAATCCAGCTTGGGAAAACGGAGGCGAAAACTCGAGTCCTTCTTCATGGCACGAACGAGAGAGTTGGCCTTGAGGAGAGTTCGCACGATTGGCAGTTCGCCTTGGAGCACTGACAACATGAAGTTCATGTCAAACCTCACCTGTATGACAAGCCATTGCAGACTTCCTACAACTGCTCGCAGCTGGCGGTGTTCAGTAGGCGTCAAGGGACTTTCAAGCTGTTTCTTTCTAGCCACTGCCACTGTGACCGGTTGCAAATTCTCGTGGTAAGCGTGCACGCTGACCTGCGCAGTTTTGTCAGGCAACTGCTTCACTTGTTTGCCGCAGTAGTTGAAACAGCCTGTTTCCAATGACACAAAGCCGAGCTCGGCTCCCAACTGATCCAGCGTCTGTTTGGCCATTTTTGAGCCAGCCATCAAAAGATCATCTACATGTGACACCATAATTCCTTGCAGCTTCTCTTCGCTGTCGTACAGGAACCATTGCGCAGCGACTCCTCCTCCAACCCAGTTGCGACACTGAGCGGTGTAGGCGAAGGTACCATCGCCTTGGGCTGTCTGCTAGGCCAAAAACGCCTTTTCGGACTTTTGCTAAACTGTCTTTGCCGAAAGGAAGCATGGGTTCATCCGCTGACTGACACCGGATGTTGGTGATGTACAACTCACGTTCCCCATCTTCAAACAAATCTCCTTTCAAAAATGCTCACTTGATGTCTGCAGACCACAATGTCCACTCATAGCTGGCCGCCATGCTGAAAAGGATGTGCTGACTACTACGAGCACTGGTTGGTGCATCCTTTCTGACATTGTATGCAGTTTCATCTTGATATCCAGGGATCACTAATCTGGCATTTGTCAGTATAAATGAGCCTTGGGTGCAAAATCTTGTTCAGCTGTCCATTGGCTGCCAAACGAGCCTTGATTCTCTTGGACTCTGCTTCTGAAAGAGGCTGGAAGGCGAAGTTGTCCGTTTGCACCTTCCATCCTGCTTCCGCTGCTTTGCGGTACTTTTGTCTTTCGTTCAATGGAATGTTCTTCCATTTGATTTCTCTGCGGGCTGTGTTGGCCTCACTAACTTCATGGCTTCCAGTGGGCCATAAGGTGCAACTTGTTTCATGAGCCAGCCAGCTTGTCCTGGAAGGAAGAGGCCACTTTCCTGACCAGCTGCCATGGTCCACCACATCGACAAAATTGGGATTCATCTTGTCTTTTTCAACTTTCTCTTTGATGAAGCGAAGTGGGTGAACCTTGGCGTTCATGAAGTCTTCTTCAAAAGTGTCCTCTACTCTTTCATAGCTCTCATCAGTTGAGTTCTGAGCGTTTGCTGGGTCTTTGGCATACTTGGCCAAAAGGTCTCTCTTGGACCTGAGGACATTTTGGACAACAGCCGTGGTCATGAGCACTGAGTGTGCTTCTTCGCCAGTGGCGGATGCCGCTTCTCGCAATTCCTCAGTGTCCACTTCAGCTGCTCTCTTCTTGGAAGCTGCATCTCCTTCCAATTCCCTAGCATCTTCTATCGATGCCTCAAGCCGTGCACTCAAAGGCGGTGTGCGTGGTGCTGGATTGGCCTGGCTGGCCTGCCGGATTAAGGCAGGTACTGGGGCCGCGCTCAAGGATGATGCGGATGCCCTTGCAAGACATGGTGGACGCTCTTCTGCTGAGAGAGCCACTGCCTGGCAATTCTGGTTCACCAGACAAAGCGGAAATGAGTTCTGTTGGCTCAACTGGGGGAAGAATCTCGGCTTGTTCCGGTACATTTGGTAAGGACTGTCTTCCAGGTGTTGGAGGCACCTGGGCTGGTGTGGCTGGCGCAGCTAGCCGTTGGTGGTCGTGCAAAGCAGCTTCGACACACTCTTGTATGGCATCGTGCCATTCTTCTGCACTGATTTGTTCCACGCTGGAGGCTCGCCGAATATGTTCTCGGCTGCACTTGGTCAATTGGCCTTTGAACCGGCTGTGCGCCCTTCTAGAGCCACTAAAAGAGCTGGTCCATGCCACCTCCGAAGGGACAGGCGCCTCTTTGATGGAGCCGTTCTGGAGTTTGTATTTGGACTCTCGCCGGAAGTAGACAATGTCTCCTGGTTCAAGTTCTTGGGCCATGGTTGGGCGCCTAACGGCTGAGTTCGGCTCTGCGAATGCCCATGGAGAAGTGAAGTCTGGTCGTGGCCAGTTTAGCTGTTTCCCTCATGGCTACTTGTCTGGCTATGCTAGGGTTTGAGTCTACCAAACCATGTTCTGCAAGTCTTTGGCCGAAACTTTCAAGGACATCTCCGATTGCCCTGGGCTGCCTTCCGATGGCAGCTTGGCTTGGGGACACTCCTGCTTCGGTGATGTCTCCATTGTATGCCACAATGCATTCTTGTAATGCTGTGTTCATTTCGGACAGTCCTATCACTGAGTGGCTTTTCACACAAACAGTCGAGGAGTCCCTTCAAAATTCCGCCTCCTCTTTCACAAATGCCATTGGCCCATGGAGCCTGGACCGGGATGTGGTGCAACAAAATGGAATGCTCATCACACATCTCTTGGAAACGCCAGGAAACAAACTCCCGCCCTTGGTCCGCCACTAGGACTCGAGGCGGTCCGAAGATGGGTATCCGGTATCCATCTTTGTTTGAACCAAGCACAAACGCTGTCCGAGTCCTTGGTCAACAGAGCTTCTCCCATTTGGAACCGGGAAACCCAATCAATGCAGTGCACAACAGCGCACCTGGTCGGACACGTCTTTTGGGCTAGGTAAGGTGCTTGGCCTTCGACTCTTAGCTCTCTTCTTTTCCTCACACAAACTGCACTTGAGCCGTTTGGCAGCTTGGATCACTTCTTTCGGTGCTCCTGACAGCACCAGGGCTCTGGCCAGCCTGCGGTAGGAGCGGTGGCCAGTGTTTTCGCGAAGCCTTTTTACTGCCAATCTTGTAGCAGCCGGGATCCGTGTCGATGGTTTCGCCAATCGACGAGATGTCAGACTCCGAATCAAACGGGTCCATCACTGCAGGGGCTTCTTGATCATCTGCCTCTGCTTCTTCACCATCGATGGCTCAGACCTCCCTACACTTGCCATAGTCGGCGTTAAATTGCCGTTCCAAGCCTTTGACGAAAGTACGGGCAAGCTGAACTGGGTAGTGTCCCGCCAGACTGGTGACCAATCACAGCTTGGTGATTGTGGTCTTTTGTGCACTTCATGTCCTTCAACTCCTCTGCTACACATGAGGAGCTGGTGGCTACCGTTGTGGGTTTCTTGCAGGAACCCCAGGGCACTTCTCAAACCAAAAGCACACTGGTCAAAGTCCACTTGTTCGATGAGCGCAGACTCAAGAAATATTTGGCCATCTCCGGAAGACTCCAAGCCATGGAACCTTTCGGGTTCTCCAAAATGAAATGGCCTCCTCTCTTTAGTTGGATCTGTGCCAGGATGAGGGCGAAGTCTAGCAAGACTCAACCTTGTCTTCTTCGTTCTTCAAGCGATTCACTCTTGCGAAGTCGGGTCAATGGAGACCACGGGCCACAAGGAAAAGCAAGTATGAGACAGTAAGGGTCCTCCTCCAGAACCGTGCGAATGCGCGCACGCCTGTCCTCCGCCCGGAGAAAGTTCCAACCGTTCTCCAAGGACATCGATGGCATCACCTTGTGTCCACGGGCCCTGGCCTGATTGGCCACTTGTTCCGTTGCCGTATAGACTTCTCCAACTAAAGCTCTGGACGACTGAGCTCGGAGATTGGTTTTGTCAGGCTCTTTCTTCTTCTTGGGCGGCCCAAACTCCACCTTCATGATGAAGTTCTCTCTCAAGCACTTTTGGAATTCTTGATTCCATTCTTCGTTCATCGCTGCCATGACTTCATGTTTTGACTTGGAGACTGCCTGACGATCTCTGCAGTGACGATCCCAAGCCTGACTGATCATCTGAGCTTGTCCCTTTTTCAATTCCTGGTGAATTGTCCAGGGATTGTTCGTCTGGCTCATATATCCTGGAGAAATGGCCCCTCCAAGAGATCCTGCTCGCCCTGGAACAAGGCTGGCGGCTGAAATCGCTCTTCTCTTGGTCTGTCATCTGGTCGAACTCTTTCATCTCGAATGCCTGTGCCCTCTGAACCTCCTCCGGAGTCCATCCATGTTCCGTCACCATCCCCAGGGGTGCGTCGCTGTCGGACGCGGTCAGGTCGAAGTTCATAGGCCCTTCTGTCATCTGACCCATTGCTGGCATGCCCTTCAAGGACATCATGCGTTGCATCACCTGACTGAGCATGGTCTGGTATTTTCGATCTTGCTGAGCCATCAGCTCGTGGATGTCTTGCATCTGAATGGCCGGACTGGCTGCACTTTCCGGATCGGTCGAGGGAGTGGATGGCGCTGCTGTTGCTGGTGTCTTGGGCGCACTTTCCTTTGGCCTCGCCGTCAAACTCAAGGGAGGCTCTTGGTGGGAACTTGAGCCACTTCCGGACGACTTGGCCGGCTCCGATGGAGCCCTGGCTATACGATGGCTTGGGCCACAGGTTTCACCATTTTCTTCAGATCTTCCACCGTTGCCTTCTCGTGCACCTTGACGTTCACCAATGCAGCCAGCTTCAAAAGGTCGGCCTTGAGTGTGGGGAGGCCGCCGCTTGGCCCGATCAAGGACCGCACTGCTTCCGCTTGGTGACCCTCTTTCATGGCCTTTTCGGTTGACTTCTTGGCTTCTTCGATGGCCTCTTGGCGGACTCTGCTGGCCGTCCCTTTGGAACCACAGGCTGCGAGCATTCCCAAAAGCATTGGATCCTCCAGGAATGAAATCTTCCAGCCCAGACGATCTCGGAGCCACATGCACTCCCCCAGGTGAATGGCAGTGAATGCCTCGGCCCGCAGGGCCCTTTCGTAGTGGCGACGAGGGGGAGCACCATTTTCCACCATCTGCTGAGCTTGCAACTGCCACTGTCGCACGAGACTGATGCTCGGGTAAGGCAAAGGCAAGTAGCGCAGCCAAGGCCGCCGACAAAGCCATAAGGCAATGCCGTTGGCGTGCCATAGGAGTCTTGCACGAAGTCTGACCATCAGCCTTGTCCAAGCGGTTGCGCTCTTGCCGGACTCCATGCTGAATCCCGGGAGGGTGTGCTCGACCGGGTGAGGATGTAGTCGAAGTAGTCGGGGGGTTTGAAGCTTGAAGCTTTGACATCTTTTGAGCCAATTCATTCATTGTGGCACCCTTCTCCACAGGAAGTCCAAACAGCTTCACATTTGCCGCATTCAAACTATGCTCTGACAAAAGATGTTCAGTCTGCCCTAGAACGTGGAAAGAAGGACTGCAAAGCTTGCAATTTGCGGTTCATCCACTCTTGGTGAGAAATCTGTAAAGCAACGACCCCGTCTTGCCCTACTTTTCTCCAACGGCCCCGACCTGGCTCTGGCCATATGCTCGGGATGAGACGCAAAGCAAAATGTCCTGCAACAAGTTGACGCAAGTGGACGTGTTTGCCACTGAGATGGTCGGCGCGCATGACCTTCTTGGCAAAGCTCAACACACAACCAATGCTGTCCAACCAATCTCGCCCCAACAAAAGACCCAAACTTCCGACAGGCACTACTGATACCCAGGTCAAGATCAGATCTTCTCCAACAACCATCCGCAATCGAAAACGAACAGCACTCTTCTGAGTTCCACCGTCTCCAAACCTTGGTCATTCATTTGCACGCATTTGCAAAAAACGTTGGCCGTGACACTGTGTAACAATGAGTGCTCAAAGAGATTTTGCTTCGCAAAGTCTTGACAGTAATCCTTGCATTCGTTGCGCCTACTACTAGTTAGGCTTGCATCATGGGGAAGCGGGGTTTTCCAAGTTCTAATGGTCAGATTGGAAAACAAAAGCGCGGGAAGAGTGGTCTCCTGCTCCGGCTGCTGCGCCACCAGATCTCTGATGGCCTGAGGCGCAGATTGTAGTGCACGAAGGTAGTGCTCCAACCAAACGGTCCCACAACATGTCCGGTACACGCACTGTCCAAAGCACCCATCAACTTTTTGTCCAACGCAAGCGACTGAATCTGAGTGGCACACACTTCAAACGATGGCCACAATGCTTCCGACAATGTAGACGGCTGAAAAATGCAAGTCGCCGTCAACACCTCATGAGCATCCTGCGGTTTGGCTCCGCCTTTCGGTTTGAACAATCCAGCTCCAGGGCTTGGACATCCATGATCTCCGGCCCAATGACCTGTCTGGCCACAATCCCAGCAACTGGATTTGGGCTTCTTCCCATTGACCTGATTCCCGGTCATTCGAGGCTTGCCACCAGGGATCAGCGGAGTCTGTCCTGGTGTTTTGCCATAGCCACGGTCTTTCTTGATCTCAGCAATCTTGCTCCGTGCTTCTCGCATTGTCACGAGAGACTCTGCAGCTTGCTCAACTCCAGACTCCAAACCCTCGACGACGTCGGGGGCAATGCCTTCTTGCTCAAGCTCCTCTAGTTCAGCGGCCAACACTTCCGCTTCACTCTGCAACACTTCTTCCAAGCTCATGCCACGCTCCTCAACATCTGGCACGAGCTCCTCGTCCTCATCTCCAGCTTCATCCTCCTCATTGCAACCAAGGCTGATCTCTGAGGAAACTTGGGCGCTGACTTGAAGCTTCGTTGAGAACCACTGGAAAAAGACGACTTGTAAGACTTGTTGCCACCAAACGAAGAACCTGCCTGAGACGGCAGCGAAGTCCGGTTTGTAGAAGCTCCTGAATGCCACGACTGGCTCAAAAATCAACCCAACAAAGGTGACCTATCCACTGCACTCTTCTTGTACAATGGGTCCTCACTATGCAAGTCTCGGAAGAGCCTTAGCGCTTGCTGTTCTACTTACTTCCTCATAAGCTTCTCGACCTCGCAATGCTGTGTCTAACAACTGAACTCTGATGGCGTCGAGTCCCATGCGGCTCCTCAAAAACCATCCCAGCTCATCTGAGGGGAGTGTAATGCCTTCTCTCTTCATTTCACTTGCGAGGGTCCTGAATCGGGAGCAGTATGCACTGACTCGTTCTCCTGGAAGACGGCGAAGATCAGTGTAAAACTGTTTCCGGAGTTCTCCCTTGCGATCGAGCAGCGTTCGACCCATCGACTCCTCCAACGCAGACATCAATTTCTTAATGCCAGCCCATGGATCAGCTGCCTCTAGAACAATCTCCTCACCTGTATGGGGGTCTTCTCCTCTCACTTCAGGGGTGCCTTCCAACTCCGATGGAGAAAATTCCTCACACCTAGCACGCACAACTCCAGACTGCCTCAATGTCCATCTAGCTGCAACGTTGTATTTGGTGCAAGAACTGGGGTCCATGGACGCTTGCCACCACTCCGTCTCACGCTTGAAAGCTCTGAAGCCTGCAGGATTACCATCCCATGTTGGCACCTTGTACCATGCCGAACTGCCCTTCTCTTCCTCAGCCATCCTCGATATTCGAGGCCGTGCAAAAATGAATGTGACACTGTGAAATACGGATTCCGGTTCAGCCTCTGCTCAAGCCAACTTTGTTGTTAACCACTCGAAGCAAAAGATCAACCAGTCCAATGAATTCCGCTCCTCAAAAATGCTGGGGCTCCAAACGCAGTCTGTACCCAACACTGTCCAACAAGCCCACGGCCAATGCAAGAAAAAGGCAGCAACGAAGCAACGAAATGCGGAGTGCGCCTAGATCGTTTCAAGCTCCGGATACCACTGTCGACGCAGTCGAATCAAGGCGTCCTTTCACATGAAAAGCGTAGCATCAAATGGCTAAGGCCTGAAACGTGAGAAATGGCCGCAGTCGAACGATCACCTGACATCAGCCCTGAATCAAGCAAGCATCTTCAAAAAGAAAATGTAAACGGCGAGGGTCATTGTTTAGATCTACATAAAGCAAAACCCTGAAGCCATGCTCAGGAGTCGCCTCCGAGTTGCATTCCTCAGACTCACTGCTCTCTGAACCGATTTCCCCATCCTCCAGGCCATCTCCTCGAGAGCAAAGAGCAAAGAGTTCTAAGGGTCAAGAGAGCCAATGCGAAGAAATCTGAAACCAATTGGTAACAAGTGCATCACTAGCAAGAAGCTGGTAGCGATGCCCGGGATGCCGTCCTGCTGGCTCTGTCTGCTCTGTCTTGTCATTTTCCTTCGGATCGCTCGGATCCTTTTGCACCTTCACAAGCCCGGTCATCGTCCATGCTGAGACTGAAACGCGCGGTCTGCCTTCGGATCGGGTGCCTGCCCTTCTTCTACAACCTCCATGGGTGTAGATGGAGGTGGAGTCTCCTCGACCTCTACAAGGTGTGCAGAGCAAGCTTCCAGAATCATAAAATAAGCACATGGGTGAAGCCAAAGCATGACTGTCGTGTGTATATATAATCAATCGCACGCGCACATGCGACTATATACATCTGTACACTCACTCACAAAACTACTGCGCCCACTTCACCAGATCGTAAAACTCTGTCGGTACAGTGCCGAGGTCTTGACAATATTGTGGTGACTGATGAGGGGCGGCGTCGGGAAAGTGAAGTGTGGTTGGCTGGTGGTGCATACAAGACTGTGTTTCTTGGCCGTTTCATGCGTTGAGGTTCAAGACAATTGTTTTCTTTCCATTTTTGTTCTACACGCCGCCGGCCAAACGTGTTTTGGGGAAAAGCAACACCAACAATGGTCTCATGGGGACATATTTAGGGAAGCTGGGAAAGACTGCAACAACTTGGACTCTGCGAAACCGCGGAGCAGTGCGGAGCAGTGGTTTCGAACAAGCTCAATCAGTTTTTTTAAGGCCAGGGGGGGTAGGCCGCTTCAGGAAGAGGTAATAGCTTCTTGTTACTACTAGTAAGGCACTTGTTACTAGAAGCGATGCACTTGTTCCTAATAGCTTCTTGTTACTAAAGCAAGTTAGAAGCTATGAGGTACTGGACGCTCCTAGGTAGGATACAGGATAGCTCACGCTTCTTCAAGGAAGCTCTGAGCGCGGGGGGGGAGCTCCCTTGAAGAAGCGCTCGCACTATTCATGTGGTTCCTAGATTTTTAGGGATTGCGCTACCGTTGCTTTACATGATTTACTCTAATTCTTGACCATGCCTGGGCCACCTGAACTTGAGGCTCTGGTTGCGCAGGTTGAACCGGTTGCCTGCAGCAAACTGCTGCTTCCAGCAATTTTGCTGAACCGGTCTGATTCTAATGCCGCTGAACCGGCTGTCAAAACTTAATGCCGCTGAACCGGCTGTCAAAACTTACAGCGAAAGGCTTCAGCACCTGTCACGTTCGTCAGCCGTTCGGCGACGCAGTCGCTCCTAAAAGGAACTGGGCAAAACCCATGCAGTAATGTACACAGTAACAAGTACAAAATGCATGCTACAGCTTCAGGACCGGTTCTTGCTCAGCTTGACCTGTCTTGGTTTCACAATAATGCACTTGATCCTCTACAATGGAAAGTTTATATATATCATATATTATCCCTCTGCTCCTTCACAACCTTGTCGTTGCGATGAAGAGGTCGACGTTCTGCACGAGGAGCCTGAGAACATACTCAAAGCTAATGATTATTTTTACGAGTCAACAATGATCACCTGTCTCAACTGAACTGAGAACAAAATAAAGCCTGGCAGAAGCTTTCGCAAAAACTTGGAATGGTTCAAAGTGCTTCATGGAAAGTCCAAAGAGAGCAAGAAATGAAGCGGCAAATCTTGAACGGCTTGCGGTTTGCGCCTTGCGGCCGCGGCTTCGCAGTCGATTCTCTCTTCGGTCGTGCCTAGTTCCATGACCTGCCGCACGGCGAAGGTGGGGTGAAAGTTGGATTTGGAGCTTGTGATATCTTCAACTATTCTCTTCCTCAAGCAGGTCCAATCTGGAATCCAATCTTGGTAGCCCGCTTCTTCTCTGCGGACCAAGCGCAATGTCATTGGGACCGGAAAGCCTCACTCACCAGCCAGGACTTGAATCAGAATTGCAGCGGGCCTCTTAATAGCATGTTCGGGGCGACATGTTCTGAATTAATGGTCTAAATAATGAAAGAGGGAAAAAATGGAAAGTAAGGGTTGTGGACCTTTCTTTCTTTGTACCTTTTTAAGCTCTATAACCCTTACCTTCCGGTATTTTTTTCTTTGACCATTGGTATCCCTTGGTTCCCTTTTGCGTGGCTTGGGCCGCTTGGCTTCGCGCCTCGGCCGATCACCCGCCCGCAGGTCACCTTTCCGCCGGATCTCCGGACGACGTACATCATTTCGGCCTGGCGAAATTACTTCTGCCGTCAGTACGTAAATTCTTTGTTTCCAATAGAGACGGCCTCCAACCTAATAGCTGGCCTCCAACCTCCTCCAACCTACTAGCAATGGCCTCCAACCAAATAGCTGGCCTCCAACCTCCTCCAACCTACTAGCAATGGCCTCCAACCAAATAGCTGGCCTCCAACCTCCTCCAACCTATACTACTGATGGTCCCAACCTAGCAATGGCCTCCAACCTAATAGCTGGCCTCCAACCTCCTCCAACCTACCAGCAATGGCCCAACCAAATAGCTGGCCTCCAACCTACTAGCAATGGCTTTTCCTTGCAGAAAGGCCCCTCCCTGGCACAGGTGGCGGGAGAGGGGCTGAGTGTCAGAGACTGAAGACGGCAGGTGAAAAGAAAAGAGGCGAAAAGACGATGTACAGGGGGAGCACCAAGTGAACGACAATCATGTAGCATCAAGAGCAGATCGCATCCGACGGGCGATCTTTGAGCCCTCTTTGAGCTTCTTCTGAACTTTGTTCCACGAACCAACTGGAGGTTGCCAATGAAGCAAAGGAGACTCGGCCGAAGTTGACAAATCAATCGGCGGCCACCAGTTGTAGGCACATGTACGAAATTTCTTCTGAAATGCCATTTGCACAATAGTTGCTACTTGATCCTGTTTCGGAAAGGCTGGGCGAGGGACAAGGCCAAAGACACAGCTCCCTGCGCCCTGTCGATACAAAGCGCTGATTCTGGCTCGTTTGACATGATCAGGTAGGGCCGGATGGCCGCACAAAGAGACAAACTGGCTAAACATGGAGGAGAACTGCGAAGCAACCTCGTTCCAAGAGTAGTTAAAGGCATGTGCCTCTGAGTCTGACCTTGCCCATGCAAAACAATGCCCATCAGGCGGAGCCTTCCTATGCACAGGAAGATAGCACTGGGTATACAACATGAAGCTGAGAACCAATTCCATCCAAGACACACCTGCATCTGCCGGACACGGGGGATCAAGAGACTGGGGCCATCGAATCTGACCCGCCCAATCAAGCATATGGTGCATCAAGGAAGAACCCCAGTAGGAGTAGTCAAAGCAATTATTATCACGAATAGCCGGCGCATCAAGTTGCCAAGCCAGTTCAATAGTCCACTTGGAGCGCAATTCCGAAAAACTAGCCGCATTTCGCATCGGATGGGGCTCCGCAGGGTTGAAAGAGGCTGGGACATTTTGTTCATGCTGCTTACGATGGCTCTGCAAGGCCAAAGAAAGACGATAAAATTGCTCAAGAACTTCCATCTCCTGCTTACGCTGCAAGACTTGCTCATGCCACACATTGGTGAGAAGAGGATGACAGGAATTACACACCTCTGCCGCCGCACGGTCAGCGACCATATTACCAAGTGCATGATAGCAAGGCAAATCAGGCAAGTCCTGAGGATTTGTATGCGCCTTAATTTTAACCAGCTGATTGGAGTCGGCATGAACGAGCTGTTGAATCCGAAGGCACAGTTCAGGGTGTGGGCGCCGGTGCAAATGCACCCCATGAACAGATCGGGCAGCTTCAAAGGTGGCAATGGCACTGGAGGAATCAACATGAATGACCGCATGACAAAAATATTCACTGGCTCTTACTACCGCCCGGAGCTCAGCATGATGAATATTCTGCGCCTGCGGACAGAGTTCCTGCACAATCACATGCAATGTGGGTGGTGTGATATCCCGCTCTTTGAAGCGCTGAGCATGCCAACTACGCTCAGCATCACTACGACAGGAGTCCACCACAATACTAAATCCAGCATATCTCATCGACGGCAGAGTGGGATGAAGACAACTACCATCAGTGTACACACGCAGCGGAGAAAGCACGGACACACACTCCTGCAAGGTGGCCAATTCCGAAGGCTCCGGTGATCTGGGCCTGATAGCATATTGAAAAGTGAAACGAAATTCATCATCCACAGATTCAAAAATGACCGGCAAATCAGGCAGCAGGGTGTCCTCAGAAGTTAGCTCTTGAGTCAAGGTCAAAAAAGGCGTACGAACATGCTGGGTCGCAGCGCATTTAAAGAACCTATGAAATTTAGTATCCTCCTGTCCACACCACGGGCAATCTGGGGTTACTTGATCATCCCAGATGGCTTGCTGACTCCTAGTTTGATAAGCACCAGCTATTTCACGAACCAAGATGCGACGTTCAGCGGCCGTGAAACGGGCAAGGACCTGTCTCGTGAGATGTTGATCAACATTAGGAAAATTGATCAAAGACCTACGATGTGAATGCATCACCAAGAGTTTATCTTGCCATGAACGTTCAGCAAACCAAACCAAGCTTTTCCAAGGGCAGTACAGAAAACAAAGCTTGACAAATGTCGAGACCTGAATGAATCCTTGGGCATCCATGGACCATCCCAATCTGACTAAATAAGTCTTAAGCGTGGAGGCTGGACCCTTGGAAGTGTTGGGCTTAGGCAAGTATTGCGAGACAAGTTTGAAGAACCTTTGATGTTGCAAGCAATCACGAGCTAGCAGGAATCTCCGAGCTGCCGCACAGGCCGAGAGAATCATATGTAGCTCTGGGTCTTTTACATACTTAGAGGCACACAGTGTGACAAGGGCCGAAGCCATGCTTTCGGAAGGACCAACCAAAGCCTCAGCCACATGATAACGAAGGGACCGAGTGTGTTGCTGACCAACCGGAAACAGTTCACTACCATGGAAAGCAACCGGATAGACACTGGCCGAGATGACTTGTGCTTTGACGTCAATATCCACATGGGAGACTTTGAGACGGGCAAGTCTCTCCTTAGCCTTACCTAATCTATCATGAAGCTTACACATACGAGCAGCGCCCTGATAGCGCAATGGACATCCTAGATCACTGGCAGCTTGGACCTTGGCGACCTCGGGCAACTTAAGACGATCAAATGCATTACGAACTGCATTAGCAAGGTGGGAATGTGACGTCCACCACCAAGTTTTAGTCCAATCAATCTGAAGGCCTATGATTGTTGTCCAACGCACAGTGACATCAAGGAGAGGCTCAATGTCCAGAACATCTTTCACAGCCCAAGCCCAATTATCAGCATAAGCGGAAATCAACGAACCAGCTGCAGGAACTTCCCAACGTCTTGAAAGTTTAGCCAAAGAGCCGGACCATTGGGCCAGGATGGATTCAGGCACCCCCAAATGACGAAGGATTGCAACACCACGAGACCTATTAATTGCGTTAAAGCATTTGACAAGATCAAGGGTGATGCCTGCACAAGGCTCGCCTGCGGCATGTGCCTCTTCGAAAAAGCATTGGGTGGCGTATGCAGCCTCGAAGGCTCCACGTCCAGGGAGGAGCCCTGTGATGTCACAAGTCATGAACTGCCCAAACGCTGACAAGAGTTGCCGACAAACAACCTGAGCCCAGACACGGTAGATCTGAGACAAGACTGTGATTGGTCGAACCTTATCAGGAACAGGAGTACCAGCAGCTTTAGGAGCGGCGAAGACTTTGGCTTCCATGAACCACGAGGGGAAGCCATCTGGATAGCAATGGACCACGTGAATTAACATGTCAATGAGATGATCAGGCAAGGGCTGAAGCTCGAAAGCAGTAATGCCATCCGGCCCCGGAGCAGCATTCCACCTCAAGTCCTTAATCACTTGTTTCCATGTCATCAAATATTACCTGAGTCAACATGCAATTGCTTACGCGGCAGCAGGTCCAAAAACTGTTGAAAGGCGACATCCAAACCCGGAGAGTGGAGGTGCGAATCATCCCTCTGCCAAATGGGCTCCCAAAATTGAGTCAAGTGGTGGCAAATTTGCTGAGGGTTGGTGACAAGAACATTTTGGCTCACTTGAACATTCTCAAGATCAACTAACTCAGAGGCACAAGACACAATGATAGAGTGCTCACGAATGTCATGAAGCCAGCCCTGCTGGTTATCTAGACATAAGTTACGACCCTGTTGGAAGGCCGAAGGCTCAGCTACAAATGCTTCATAACGAGTATGACTTTTGTGAGTGACCCTCGTACAAAGCGGGACAAGAATGGCAACTTGCTCACAGGTTTTTTTCAACTGATTCAAGCTTGGGTGTAGAGCCTCGAACAGAAGCAAAAGTGAGCTTGTTATGACCTTGTTTTTTGTCCAACTGGAGGCGATACTTCTGTTTATCTTGAAAGATCTGACTGTCAATAGTCATAGCTTGAGTGACCTCATGACGCCAAAGCTGTTCAAGATCGTTCAACCAATCTATGGATGGCAGGTGCCAAGGAACAGGCCACAATTCCGGTTGCATCTGTAGCCAGGCCACAAAGGACTGAGCTTGATATCGAAACCTCAGGATGCAGCGCCATTCCAGAATTAGAGCATTATGTATTACTTCCTTGCCGAGCTTGCGCCTCAAGGATTGGACCCTTCTCAATTGCTTGATCATGCCCGCAGTCACCACACGGTGAATCTCTTGAGTAGGTTCAAAATCCCCACTCCTGGCTTTGGGGACAAGAGAGGTAATCAAGATGTGCTTAGGCTTCTGTGGCAAACACCTACCCCGAAAGGACTTTGGTAAATGGCGCGGCAAACCAGCCCCCGATGGGGCCTTGCGAAGGGCAACATCAACAGTTTGCTCCACTCGCTGTCCCCACTCCTCCAGGCTAATCGGTGTGGGCACATGAGCCAGATCTGCATCAGCCTGTGTGAGAAGGTCACGATCAACAATGAGATCCGTGAAGGGCTTGGGCTTGGGCCAAACTTGTTTGAACAAGTTACCTGAAAAGCCATGAAGATCAAAAAGAACCACCTTGTGAGCATCAAAGAGAGGTTCCTGAAGAAAACTAATGGCTTTGAAGCGAGGAAGAAGATTCGGCGAAATGAACGCTGTATCAGGATTAGTGGCTTCCTTGCAAGTCGGAGGCATGTTACCACCATACATGTTAGTGAACAGCTGTTGCAAATGCAAAAAACCTAACTGAGCTAATCGATGAGCTGACGGTAACTTATACACATCTGCATTGAAGTCACCAAG